ATAAAAGTGGTATAAAAATCATGGTGCTGGTTTTGTGTGGATGAAAGTTTTCAGTTTATTTGGGTAAGTATCAAGGACTCAGCTGCTAGGTTACATAAGAGTATGTTTAGTTTCGTAAGAAATTGCCAAACCATCTTCCATCTATTACTTCTACTATTCTTTTTTTCTTAGGATGTACCCACGTATTTGTACAAAAGGTCACTCATGCTTATTTGCAAATTCAACTCCTTGTGGTGTTTGGCCTTGTTGCAATGTTACCAGGGCAAGGTCAAGATTTCATAAACATCCAGGAGCCAAAAGACCTTTCTTTAGAACTCCTACACTGGCTTGTTGAGTAATCTGTCAACAAATGCACTCTTTCCTCTGGTGCTCCACTTCTTATTTAGGTAACGGGAACTCTCAGCCACTTCGCACCTGTGCTAGAGTTGACACACAGGTTCAGAGCAGCACACAGAAGCAGAATAAGCAATAACTTCTTAATCGTTATAAAAAAATCACTAAACAATTGTAAATTATAAGTAAGTAAACAAAATAAACTGAACTTGAATGCACACATGGAGAAACTGGCATTTAGGTCTTGAGACTTCTCTAAGATTTATTAAACATTTTTAGTAATGGATTTCATCTAGTTATCTGGTCACTCTGAATTATACACAAAGATTAGGCTAGCTAGCTAACTTATTCTTTATTTTAGCAGTTGTATATGGATATTAGAATAATTGCACTACAATATTTATTTCAATGGGCTGAGGCCACATATGGAGGCAAAGGTCTCCCACCCCCCAGTGGCTTTTTGTTGCTGTTACCTATCATTGTAATTGCTGGGGCTTGGCTACAGAGATCAGTGGGAAGGAAGCCAATTGGAGTTGATCAGAACCCTGGCAAGGAGTGGCCTGGTGACTCCACTCTGCTCCCAGACATTCTCTTATTGCTCCTCACAGCTGCAGGGCCTGCCTCAGCTCCTTCAGTGACAGCAAGGATGACAGGTCAAGACCCTTCTCCCTAACCCTCAGCAGGAGGTGGATGCTATAGAGATAAGCAAATTCAGGTAGAGCCAAGGAAGAGCACAATGTGGAAGAAGGGGTCATTATCAGAGGTGCCACCCCACAGAAACAGAGTATCTGCATTGCTGGTTTCTGCACTCTCTTACTTCGTCTCTATAGTCTTGGTATCTTATTCCTAATTATTCAGGGTTCTGCACTCCCATAAGGACTGTATCTACCCAGGCCTGTCAAGTTTAGAAAGCATCTTTCCTGCACTCATCAAAATCCTTTCCCAGTGCCATCTGTCTTTCAAGAGTCACATGGCTTCTGTCCATGTATTTCAGGTCCATTCAATAATTAAACAAATGTTTACTGAGAACCTACTGTTTACCAAACACGCTGTTTTTGGAATTGTGGAAACACCGGCGAAAAGGACAGTTTTGATTCTCTTGGTGTCATTATGTACTCTACAGTCTTGTTCTAAAGAGTGACACAGAAGCTGTGTGTGGTGGTTCACACCATAATCCCAGCACTCAGGAGCCTCAGGCAGGAAGAACATGAGTTGAGGTCAGGAGTAATCATAAGGGCCATGAGAAAACATAAAGCAGAATTAAGAGTTGGGGGCAGCAGGGCTGCCATATTTGGTAGTTAGAGGAGGCCTCTTTGGGATGTGGTCTTCAAGAATGTGGATGTGAGAATGGGCATCTTTATGGGCAGAGGGAGAAGTACAAATGCCCAGAAGTAGAAGCAACAAGACTGGGTAGGAGTGAGGGGATGGGAACCAAGACGGAGATCTGGGTGGGGCGGGGCAGGCACCAATGTCTCAGCTGAGGTTATGCAGACTTCTCCAGAGCACACTGTGTAGTTGGGGTGTTTGGTGTTAGGGAATCTGGAGGTGGAGGGACTTGGGGCTGTACAGCTTTTGAAGTCACTCATAGTTCACAGCCAGCTGTGTAGGTGTCCTGTCTTTCCTACTAGCTACAAATATTGAGAATAGGAACTGGTTTGGTTCTCTGCTTGTGTCAGGAACAGGGTGTGTGAATGACTCACAGGAGGTACTTCATTCCTGCATTGAATTAGACTGGACTCCAGCCATCCCAGCAGGTTCCTGAGTTTTGCTAAGTTAACAGTCCTTTGAGCTATCAAATCAGTGACACGCAGCCCATACCTTGCATTTTCCCAACACTCATATTTGGATAACATGGAGGACCATGAAGCCAGTGTAAAGGAAGGAAGGAGACACGTAGCTCCTGGGGAGAATGAACCAGGGATTGTCTAGAGAAATAGCTGCCAGGTGAGGTCAGCTGTGAGAGTTGAACACGCTTTGGATTTGGAGTGGGAGGCTCCACACAGGAAAACTCCAGCTCCAGGTGAGAGTAGTATTTTAGGAAAGTATTAGGATGAGGAGTTTGCAAAGATCTTAGGATTCATTTCCTGTAAGTTTCAAAGGTCTACCAAATAATTTTCTCCCACCTGAGACACTCCTTAGCACTTAGTGAGGTGCTCACGCCACTTGGGGTAACATCATCTTTACTTGTACTTACAAATGCTCATCTAAGATCCTGAGTACTTTATCATGTCTGAAGCTTGCTTCATTTATTAAACCTGATTTGTGTTTTCTTTGTTTTTTGTGTGGTGGTGGTCCTGGGATTTGAACTCAGGGCCTTGTGCTTGCTAGGCAAATGATCTACCATTTGAGCCATGTCTCCATCCCTTTAAACCTGATTTGTACATCGATGACTTAATGCATATTGTTGTTTGCCTGAATAAATGACCAGAAACTACAAATACAAACGGGAAAAAGTTTCCAGCGTCCTAAGAAACAGCTAAATAAATAAGCCATTGTTTCACATTCACTATCTTTTAAAATACAATAGCTGATTCTAAGCAGGACGCTGTAATAAGGCGAAGCGCCAGAGAACAAACGGCTTCTCATATTCCAATGCCACACTTCCACATGCACTCAGCATGGACTCTTGATCACTCTTCCATCCACCCAGCGCTGAGTACTAGAGGCTAAGGGTAGAACCTGATGTGGACTCCAGAGTCTCCTTAGATGGAGACACAAACAAGCAGCCAGGCAGTGTGCCCATGCCACAGCTGCTCCTACGAAACCATAGCCATACTCAGGCTCTCTCCAGGCTGCTGGGTTACAGCCCCTGAAGAAAAGCACGCAGTCTCGAGTTTAGGGCCAAAGACACAGGGGCTCTGAAAGCCGCTTCATTCTGTCTCTGGCTCTCAGTAATAGCCATCTTGAGCGCTTTTTTCTAATGGTGCCTGACAAATGGACAGAGGCCACTTTTCTTGGAAGTGATGCAAGGCATAGGATGAGCCTGCAGGAACCTGGGAACTGGCTTTGATTGGCCTGGCCACATTGACTGCTTTGCACTAGGAGGTAGATGTGACTTATTGTTGAATCCCTCCCTTCCTCTGTCCACAGCATTGTTTCCTGGGTCCTTTAGGGAGTGGCACCATTCACATTCCATTTCTTATTCTAGTCCCTCCTCCCACTATCTCCCCCTGCCATAAATGGAACGAACATTCTTGTGTTGAAACCCCACTGGTAGGTCAAAGGATAGAGTCTTCCTGAATGGAATTAGTGCCCTTAGAAGAGAGGTGAAAGAGACTTCTCTCTGCTGTCTGAGGCTACGGGAAGAAAGTGGTTCACAAACACCTTGCCATTCTGCCACCCCAAACGAGGATCAGAACTCTGATGAACCAATGTTTAAGCCACCAGCCTATGGTGATTTGTTTTTGAGGCCCGAGGTAAGGCATCTACCAAACTGCTTGCTTAAAGTTCATACTGGCAACTCGCAGAGAAATGAAAAAAGACAGAGGGTAGAGGGACAGGGAAAGACAGTCACTGCTTTATGATGGCTGCAATGTGCCAAGAACCCTGGTAGAACTTTGCACGCATCATTCCCTTCCTCTAACAAGAGCTTAGTCTGTAGAATAAGGTAAAGTTTGAACCCCAGCTCTGCTATTCACTCAGGAAGTGACTCATAAGTCTAAAGCCCCAGCACACACCCTGCTCTCTACCCAGCTCTATGCTTCTGAGCCATGTGGCCTTGTCACACTGCTTCATGTCTGTGCGATTTCACTTCCTTGTCCCTAAAATGAAATTGAAATAAGAGTACCCAACAACGAGGGTGGTTGTGAATATTAAACAATATCTAAACAATGAGTATAGATACAAAGTGTCTGTCCCCTGAAGACTTGTGTTGAATACTGTCTCTTGAAGACAGCAGTGTTCAGAGTTGGGACTATTGAGGGATGACTGCATCATGAAGGCTCGGACTCTCATGGGCCAATTGCATGGATGAGTTCATTGTTTATTCAGCTATTCAGAGGTAGATCAGCTGAGGAAGTTGGTCACTAGGGTATATTTTGTCCCCAGCTCTTTGCTAGCTCTCTCTCTCTTTCTTGCTCAGTCTCTCTGCTTCCTAGCCACTATCAAGTAAGCATTTTGCTCCACCATGCCCTTGCTCCATGACGGTCAACCTTGTCACAGGTCCAATAGCAATGGAGCCGACTAACCATGGATGGAAACCTCTGAAAGCATCAGTCAAAATAAATCTTTCCTGTGTTAAGTTGATTTTCTCAGGCATCTTGTGACTGTGACAAAAATCTGACTAACACAATAAATAAAACCCTATCTTTTTTTTTTTTTTGTGGTACTGGGGTTTTAGCTCAGGGCTTTGGGCTTGCTAGGCAGGTGCTCTACCACTTGAGTCACTTCTCCAGCCCTTATATTTTACTTATTTATTTATTTTTTTGAGGAAAGATCTCAGGTTGGCCTCTAGCTTGAAATCCTCCTGCCTTAGCCCCCCGAGTCCTGGATTACAGGTGAGTGACCACCTCACCTGACTAGTAAAACAATTTGAGTAATAACCAGCACAAGGTTAGAACAAGTAGTTGTTTTGCATCTTTTTGTTGCATATTTTAAGAGGGTAACTTCAGCACAGTGTTTTGGCAGGAAGAAACACACAATGAATTATTGATTTATTGTTACTGTTAGTTAATTATGTTTAATATTTCAATAGTAATATTATTACTTTAACTATTCCTGTTACTTAGGACTCAGAGGTGTCACCTCTGTTGTCTTTTCTACTAAAGAACGTGAGAAGAAAATAGCAAAGCCAAGGGCTCTGGCTCCTTCTGTGCACGGTATGGGGAGGATCCTCACCAGGGCCTCACCTGGAGGATCTTTGGGTGAGTCATGGGCAAGTATTAAGTTTGGGAAGCATTGCTGCAGCAAATGCTAGAGGTATCTGTATGTCTGGTTCTCAACTGTGGTTTCCATTGGAATCATATTTGAAACACACTGTCTAAACACTCCCCCCTCAAAAATTTGTTTCAATTGGCTGGATTACAAAAACTTAAAAAGCTCCCTAGGTAACACGAGCTGAGTTCACTCACCCGGCATGTGGTCCGTGAGGAGTTAGGCGGTAGGTTCCATTTCTTCAGCAAGTGCCAACAAGAGTTCTGGTTTGTTTAGCTTCTTTTCAGGCTAAAGGAAAGTAGAAGTACAGAAGGACACGGAAGCACATGGTTTTCCGTCCCTGCCCCCTCCATTCCTCAGTCTTCGTTCCAGCCACCAGGACACATGACCAGCTGTCTCCTCCCACGTTTCTGCTTCCTTTTGTTGCAGTGGACAGCATCCAGGCTGCGTTAGTTGACCTGTGTCTCGCCAAGTCACTGTGCTGATGGGGCTTGGCTTTTCTGCAGTAGAAGTTCGTGTTTCCTTGAAACAAGGCCTTTCTCCTTGAATCTTCTGCTCCTGACCACTGGGCACAGGACCCAGTTGCTGTTTGGGTGGAGAAAACCCAGTCAGAGATCACTTCTCAACTTCTCATGTCACGTGTTTGATCCCTGGTGGAAAATCCAAATTCCCACCAGGTCAGGCAAATTATCTAAGAGAGTCTCCTGTGAAGACTGTGGTTCTTGCCCTTCCCAAGGTGGGGCAGGAGGAAGTTGTTATATAGGAATTAGTGTCACGTGCCCGTAATTTCCTGAATTTTCAAAAGAGTTGGAAACTTGGAAGTGTAAGGAAAAAGTTTTGAAGTTCAGTGTTGGTAGCTAATTTGAATAACCTTAAAAGCCCAGTGGGCCACATGAAACATTTCCAGAGGCCAGAGAAGACTTACTGATCTCTGAGGCATGCTTGATAGTATTTTTATTTATTTATTTTTGCTTTTGTTTGCAGTACTGGGGTCAAATTCAGGGCCTTGCACATGCTAGGAAAGCACTCTATCCCTCTACTTTCCCCACCCTTGGTTGTTTTTCACAGCTCAGGCTAGCCTTGCACATGCCACACTCCTGCTTACACCTAACAAGTTCTGGGATTACAGGCAGGCACCAGCACACTCGTCATTCTAGGTATTCCAAATAGCCCATTTTGTTTGGAAAAGTTCCCTGAGACTTGGCAGCTAACCGAAATGATCTTGCTCTACCTTTGGCACTGGTAGGAAAGTAAGATACCTGGAATCTTCTGAGTCACGTAGCCAAAAGTTTTTAATTAAGGTGAATTGTTCCAGGCTTGTTAGTTTGGTAAGGGCCCGACACTGTAGAACTCATGCAGAGTTATGCTATATTCTGTTGGAAGAGAAGAACAGAAGGAAAGAAAAGAAGATTATACTCTCTAGTCTTCTTTTCTTCCTTTCCTCCCTCCACTATGGCACCCCCTCCCCTGCAGAACAGAGGGCACCAGCGCTTGACAGAGCTTCTTGTTCAGTGCTGCCACATCTCTGAAAGTGACCAAATGTTTCTCCCTCAATATTCTCTTTATACAAGATGATGTAACTTGTGTTTGTTGCTAATATTAGATTTGTAACAGATGCCTCATTGTTGGGTCCTGGGTAACTGCAGAGCAGATTACAAATCAAAGACAAAGCCTCAAATGCCCAGAGCCCAGTGACTTTAACAGGAGAGCTTGCTGCCAGGACAGGGGCTCATGAGCCTGGGGTGAGGGGAGACCCAGGAATACAGCCCACCACATAGATGGCGTTAGAAATGGCAGAGCTCAGATTTATACCAAAACCTCCTGATGGCCAAACTGTGCCTTTCCCATTTGTCTGTGCTTCTGGAGTTCTCTTGCGCTTCCCCAGTGCTAGAATAAGCAGACTGAGACAGAAAGGACTTAGAGATAGCACTCGGTGCTTTGCTTTTGTTCCCCTAGTGATAAAAATAAATTTGTTTAAATTGTGTTCGATTCATAAATAATAATGAAATGGATACTTGGGCAGAAAGGTTTCCGAAATAATGTTTAAAGTTCTGTGTTGAAAATAGAAATGACCTGGTGGAGAGCTTAGATTGTGGGTTCCAGGAAGGTGTGAATGTTTCATTCACTCTGAGTCCACTAAGGGTAAATAAAATTAGCACTGAGCCTGGCCCACAAGTCGTTTCTCAAATTTACTGACTGAATGAGTAAGTCTCTCCTGTGTCCTGTCAGCATTCAGAGGAAAGAGACCCTCTTGAACGGGAAGGCCTAAGGGCAGAGACCGAGCCTCCTCCTCCCTCTGAGCAGACTGGGGTCTTCAACAGCACAGCAGATATCAACAGTTTTAGGCAGGGGAGCCCAGCCAGGTGTTGTCCCACGTGCGAGAAGGTAGCATCAGAACCTCCATGAAGTTTTGTGCTGTAAGAAGAATGAAACAGTGTTTTGGCATGCTAAGAACACCAGTGAGAAGGAAGTAAGTAATCCTGGGAGTTTGCCTACAGGCTATAGGTACTAAATTTACGGTGCTTTCCAAACCTCAACTGAATTTAGTATTCTTTATTTTTAAAAAGTGTCAGTCAACCTCCTGGAATGCTCAGCCATCTGAGTCTTTCACTCAGGCCTGCAGGGGTGGGTGGGAACAGTTTCTGTATGAACACACCCTTGTGTTTCTTCTATGAGTTCTGAAGTTTCCTAATAGTACATTTTCATTTCTTGTGCTAAAGCGATAATAACATTCACCATCATAACTACTTTTAAGTGTGAAGGGTACTTACTTTGTTGTGAAACAGATCTCAAGACCTTTTTCAGTCAGGTGTGGTGGCTCACACCTGAAATTCCAGCTACTCTGGAGACAGAGATCAGGAGGATAATGGTTCAGGACCAAAAAGTTAGAGAGACCCCCATATCAACAAAAGAAGCCAGGCACAGTGGCCTGCGGCTGTCTTTCCAGATATGCAGAGAGGCCATAGATAGGAGGATTGTTGTCTGAGGCCAGCCCCAGGCAAAAAAGCAGGACCCTATCTGAAAAATAACCTAAAGTAGCCAGGCGCTGGTGGGTCACATCTGTAATCCTAGCTACTCAAGAGGCAGAGATCAGAAGGATGGTGGTTCAAAGCCAGTCCTGGGCAAATAGTTCATGAGACCATATCTGGAAAAAGCCCATCACCAAAAAGGACTGGCAGAGTGGCTCAGGCCTTAAGAATGCCTGCCTAGCACGCCTGAGGCCCTGAGTTCAAACCCCAATGCTGCCAAATAAGTAAGCAAATAAATCAATAAATATATAAATAAAAACTTAAAGCAAAAAGGGCTGAGGCATGGCCTAGCCCATCTGCCTTCCAAGTGTAGGGTCTTGAGTGCAACCCTCGTACCACAAAGGAAAGCTTTTTCCATCTTGCAAACCTGAATCTCTATACCATGAAACAGCAATTAACATTATTTTTAAACATCAACCAAAGCTCAGCTTTGCTACAAGAAGTGAGTTCCACCCACAATCTCACATCAGTTGACTCAATCTGCTGCTTGTGCATCAACCACAGTCTTGATCCAGTAACTACTTTCTGCCTCCCACCCCTGGGCGAGCCAAGCAGGCTCAAGGCTTGCTCATTATTAGGACAATACACCAGGATTTCCAACCAAATAAGGACTTCTCAGCTTCTCACTCTCTTAGGAAGCCACATGGAGTTAATGTCTACTATTTGTCAACTCCTTCGTGTAGAGACTCTACAGAGAGGACACCCTGCCAAAGACATGGCGCCGGGGTCCAGAAGGTCATGTTTATTCTAGTCTATGAGCCATGTTTCCACATGTCTCCTAAGCAAGCATTATTTTCCACCCTTCCATTGTCTTCCTGAGCTGCTCCTCTCCAGCTTGGCCTTGGTGATTCTTCTTTGCCCCTTAGAGCTCTGCTCACCCCAGGGTTGTGATTGCTTGTCTGTGTGTCCTTCCTACCATGCTTCACATTCTGGAATGCAAAGGTCTGTGTCAGTCCTGCTCTGGTGGAGCTAAACACAGCATGAACTCAATGGTACAGACTTGCTGGCATTGCATGAAGGTTCCCCTGCCTCATCCTTCCCTGGTCTAAGGCAGAACAGATGGCAGAGGAGTGTGTGTGTGTGTGTGTGTGTGTGTGTGTGTGTGTGGTACTGGATTTTGAACTCAGGGCCTTGCATTTGCTAGGCAGGCGCTCTACCACTTGAGCTATACCCCCAGTCCAAGTGTGTTCTCTGGAAACTGCCTCCTATTTTACAGACTCAGCTTCCAGATTAGCTGTGGAGAAGAAGGCAAACCTGGGAATCAAAGACCTGCTTCAAATCTGGCTCAGGACTCACTAATGATGCCACCTCAGGCAACTGTCAATACACTGATGCTCAGCCCTCAAGCAGCACCTGGGGCAAAAAGATTAAATAATAAGATGTCATAAAGCCAACAGTAGGCACTCTGGCTCCTTGTCTACTTCCACCACCCTAGTCTAAATTACCTTCTGTCACCTAGATTATTTCAATTGTTTTTGTTTTGTTCTCATTCATTCTGGACCACTCCAAATCTACCAGATTGCTCAGAAACCAAATGTGATTGTGCTACTACAATGAAAGAGTAAAATCCTCAACATTTTTTTTTTGGGGGGGGTGGGACTGGGGTTTAAACTCAGGGCTTCACACTCGAAAAGCAAGTGCTCTACACTTGAGCCACACCTCCAGTCCATTTTGCTCTGGTTATTTTGGATTTGGGGGTCTCCTGAACTATTTGCCTGGGCTGGCCTGGAACCATGATCCTCCTGATCTTAGGTTCTCACGTAGCTAGGATTACAGGTGTAAGTCACTGGCACTGGGTCTCAACATGATTTTTATTTTAATTTATTTGGGACGGGACTTGCCGTGTACCCAGGTTGGTCTGGAACTCGAAATGCACCTACCTCTGCCTCCCATGTGCTGGGATTTCAGGCATGTCCCACCACACCACACCCAGCTACTCAACAAGATTCCTTTCCTGATGTTCTTTCTAAACTGCAGGTCACGGCCATCAGTGAGTCACCACCAGCACTTAGAGCAGAAATGCTAGATTGCAACAGCAAGGCTAAGTAGAATGTAAGTAGAATAGAACAAGTTCGCAGTGGTAGGTTAAGAATTGTTTGATATGTTTGTCATTGTTTGAAGGCCCTGGTCTCTTATACCCTGAATCACATGACCCCTGGCTCCCAGCCCCGTTTTTCTGTGATTTCCCCCTAGTTCTCTGTGCTTTGCCTACACCAGCCTTCAAGTTCCTCTGACAGATCAGGGGAAGACCCTCAGCACAGCTCTTTTTCTCTTTAACGTCAATGTCCTCCTCCATGTCTCAATCAGATGCCAAGGTCTTAGGCGAACTCTCCCAGACTATCTTTATGAGGGATAAGGGTCAGATTGATGGTGTTCTGTCTCATTATTCCTTTTGGTTAAGACAAGCTCTCCCAGGGGCTACTGTCTCACCTGGGCAGAGAGCCCGCTTTTGCCACCATCGTAACCCAGCGCCTAAGTCGGACGGGCAATCAGGACTCCCGTGGAATAAGTGAAGGAAGGAACCAGCCGACCAACAGCCAATGATGTCGGCTCGTAAACACTTACACCAAGTAAACCACAGCAGGCAGTTCTCGGTGGGGAAGAGAAGAGTGGACATCGGACTTCAGAAAGGGTCAGTGCGGACTGGCTCCGCAGAGCCACAGCTCTGGGCATCTCAGGCGCGCTTGGCATCCCCGAGGTCCGGACGCGTTAGGTTGGGCTTCTGAGCACCGGGTCCAGCGACTGTCCCTCTCCCCAGGCAGGCCCAGTTCTGCAGAGCCACGGCTCCGGAGCATCTCAGACGCCATGGGCATCCCGGAGGACTCGGGGCGCGCTAGCCGGGACTTCCGGGCACCAGGTCCGACTACGGTCCCTCGGCCCAGGCCCTCCCACCCTGGCCGCGCGCGTCCCCGCGGGCGCGATTGCAGGTGGTCCGCGTGTCACTCGGGCGCGGCCCCGCTGACGTCGCCGCAGCCGCCGCGCTGGCCGGAGCCTGACTCCGCAGCCATCTTCCGCGAGGCCGGCAGGGAGGCAGGGAAGGGGCGCGGCCTGCTCCGGGACCGCCCCCGCCGCCAGCCGCCCCGCGCCCCGCGCCCCGCCGCGCCCCTGCGCCTTCCCCGCCCGGCGCGTCCGGCCCGCCGCAGAGCCGCCATGGGCGCCGCGCGCTGGCTGGCGCTGGGCAGCGTCCTGGCCCTGGCCGGGTTGCGCGAAGGTCGGCTGGTGCGCGAACCCGAGGCCGGCTTCGGCGAGTGCGATCGGTTCTTCTACGCGCAGAGCCCGCCCGCCGGGCCGGACGCCGGACCCCACCTGCGGGTCTGCCAGCGCTTCCAGGGTGTCGAGCGCTTCGCCACCCTGTACAGCACCCGGGACCGCGTCCCCATCCTCTCCGCCTTCCGCGCCGCGCGCCCCGCGCCCGGCCGCGCCCAGCCGCGCTGGCTGGTGGAGCCGCAGGTAAGCGGGGAAGCGGGGTCCACCCCACTGCGCCCCCTGTGCAAGCCACAGCGAGAGCGGCAGGGACGCAGGGCCGCTGGGGACAGTTCTCTGCATTTCCGTGCAGATATCTGCAACCCGGAGTAGTGAGGGGCCTGAGGACGCTGGAAGCCCAGGCCGGATGCTCACAGGTCCGGGCCATGTCATCACCGCAGCATTCATTTGCCCACAAGTCTGGGGCATTTTCTTCCCTATTTTCAGGGAGAGGAGATGTAGTCTTTTGGCTAGAAAGTAACTGCCCTTTCTGCTAGGGACAGCTTCCCTTCTGCAGTGCCCATCCTGATGGGCACTTCCCTCCACACATGACTGTAACTTAAATCTGAAGCTCTACTGAGTGAGAATAGTAAACGAAGTCATGGGTACTTAGCACTGCAGTGGATGTCAACCTGGCAGAGGGACAGGCCAGTTTCCCCTGACTCTTAGTATCTATGCCTGTATTAACAGAGCGCTTGGGAATTGTGTCACCTTTCATGGCGTTCTGTCTGTCTTCTGACAGTGGTCAAAACACTCCAGATCCTCCTCATACCCTGCAGAACCTGCTGGCCTGCTCTTAACACATCCTGGCTCACTTCTCTGCTCCTTTGGAACTCCCAGGCCTGCTCTCCTTTAACCTTTCACCTTGTCTGGGCGACAGGGGAGGCACTGAGTCCCCACAGCCCTTGGTGCCAGGCCGGCTGTCCAGCACCCCAGACAGGTGAGCAGCAGACCAGCTTTCAGACTGTGTGTGGTGAGATCTTGGGCTAGTCCCAAGCAGTCTCCTCCTCAGTGCTTACCTATTGCATATAGGTCCTCCTAGTGTACTCATGGACATCAGCACCTGTGAGATCAGGCATGTGCAACAGACTTTGTAAATTACATACACATTCCAATCTAAAATTAGTTCCCCCAGTGCACAACTAGAGCTTGCAGTCCAGTAAGTCCCTCAGCTTCTCATTATGGACTGTGACTGTGGGCCTGGGAAGAAAATAGATGACCTGGGCCTTTCTCCCAAGGATCTTGTTGGCCACCAGAGGCAGTTGTGGGAGTGCTTGCTAAACAAATATCAATTAAATTCACAGAACATTCTTAAGCACTGGCTGCCAAACATTGAGGATACCAAGGAAACTGAGTATAGCCCAGACTTTTGAGTCTGCAGGCAGAGTGTGAGGGTGGCAAGGTGGCAGAGCGTCTGATTAAAGCCACACTGTGTGTTCAAGCCCCAGGTCCTCCACTGACTGGCTGTAAACCTGGGCTGGCTAACAAGGGACAATAATACAGGGTTGTTGTGGGACTAAATTAGTTGCTATATATAAAGTTCTCAGAGAGATGCCTGCACATAAATACTAGCTGTTGTCACAAAAGCAAAAGGACATAATTTGACAATTATGGTTATTAGACTTAATGTTCCCCCCACCCCCACTGGGGATTGAACAAAGGGCCTCCTCCAGAGCTCTCTACCACTTGTGCCACCCCCCCCCCCAGCCCTTTTAGTTTTAGTTTGCTTTTTAAGACAGTCTCGTTAGCCTAGTCTGGCCTTAAACTTGACATCCTCCTGCCTTCGCCACTGAGCTGGGATTACAGATGCACTCCACCACAGCCCGTTTGATTTAATCTGTCTTTGAGGTGATGGGGAAAGCCTTCGGGACCAGATGACGTTCGTGCTGTGCCAGGAAGGATAAGGTGGAGTTCAGAAGGAAGAGGAGGAGGAGGAGCAGATGAGTGAGACGGGCCTGGCAGATTTGGGGATCAGATCATGGGGAGTGGCACATTGTAGGGCACTGTACTCGTGCCCAGAATGACAGGGCTTCATGGAGGGAGTGGCAGGGCAGGCAGGAGTCCTCAGGAAGCCCAGGAAGGCAGAGGAGTCGTAAAGGAGCATGGTTTGGCATAGAGGCAGTGGAAACTCTGGGTGGGGTCACAAGGGAGTGGCCTGGTAGATAGAAGAGGATGGGGCAGCTCAAGAGAAGAGAACCAGATGCCAGGGTGCCCACCTAGAGGCTGGAGAGGTCAGATTGCTTGCCAGGTTACTTTTCCCTGCAATGTAGATGGGACCCATGCCCTACCTCCACCCCCACCCAACCTCATGCCAAGTCACCAGAGGACCAAAGATATTTAGGAGCAAGGGAGGGAGAGAGGGAAAGAACAAGAGAAGAGGAGGCAGGAGGTACAGGCAGCTCCTGTCACCTGCTCCCTGGAGGCCTCGGTCTCAGCCAATGTCCCCACTGCAGAGAGAGACGCTCAAGGCTCAGTGTGTTCTTCTGGCTGCTGCCAAGCTGTGCCCACATCGTCTTCTTATGAGGTCAGTGTTAACAACAGGCCCAGCAGGAGAGCACAGGAGCTCCCGCTGCGCCAACCCCAGGATTCTACTCAGCAGCTTTCCAGGCTGGCCTGTAGCTCCCCTTTGAAAAAAGCTTCCCAGTGGAAGGTCACAGAAACTTGGTCATACTCTTGCTGAAACCTGTAGGGTGTTGACTGCCAACACCTGCAGGACAAAGTTCAAACTGCAGAATTTACAACCAGACGTGGGCTGGTTCCCTCCATGTCTACCCCAACATTTATGTCCTAGCATTGCAGAGCTGCCTGGAATCTTCTGTAAGCTGCACTGTCAGGACTGCCTTTGCTTGAGTGGCTTGTCTACACCACTCCCCTCCACCGTATGCTTCTGTAGACCATCTGTTTTTTAGTTTTATTTATTATTATTATTTTTTGACACTATTGGAGTTTGAAGTTGGCTTTGTGTTTGCTAAGCAGGTGCTCTCCCCTTGAGCCACCCTCCTGCCCTTTTTGCTCTGTTAGGGTCTGGCTTTTTGTCGAGGTCGCCCTGGGCAAACACTCCAGTGTTACACTTCTTGCCTTAGTTGAAATGATAGGGGTTTGCCACCATGCCCAGCCTTTTTTTCTCTTGAGATGGGGTCTTGAGAACTTTTTCTCCCATGCTGTCCTGGAGCCATGATCTGTCAATCTCAGCCTCCCTCATAGCTGGGATGGCAGTCACATACCACAGCACCCAGCTATTGGTTGAGATGAGGTCTTGGGAGCCTTTTTATAGGCTGGCCTTGAACCCCCATCTCTCTGACCTCATCCTCCCAAGTAGCTGGGAGTACTGGTGTGAGACATGGATGCCCAGCCCCAGTCCATTCTTTGAGACTTGACTGTGTGTCCCCTCCAGAAGGAATTCCCCACCTGACTTAGATGCACTCCTGGGATAGGGGCACCTCCAGTGCTCCTGCAGTGTACAGCATTGTTTTGTGGTCACCTGCTCATTTATCAGTCCCCAACTTGAGCCCTTGAGGGCTGGGGGCTCATCTTACTCTTTCTTGTAGTCCTTGTGCCTAGCACATAGAAAGCACTTAGTGCTGAAAGAAATAGCTTATTTTGAGTACAAAAGGAGGACCAGCCAGGTAGCAGTGGTGAGATTTCTTAGTGAGGACCTTCCTGTTCTGGAAGCTTGCCCAAGCTGGCCAGCATCTCCTGTCACAGACATGGTCCATATGCAGAGCTGGAGCCAGGCCACCTCACCAGCCCTGGCTCTGGCCTTTGGAGCCATCCCTGTTGGTTCTCATCTCTTCCCTGCCTATCTGCCCTCTTGTGTAGGATAGAGGCTCTTGTGTGTGCCCACAAAGGAGACCTTCTGCGGAACAGAAGGAGAAATTTAAAGGGAGGCAGAAAGCATGGAGGGCTGTTGAGGCGGTGTGTGGTCAGTGCTTACTTTTACATTAGCAGTGGAGAGCAGGCAAGAGAAAGGGGAAGGCACATCTCTCTCTGATATCATCGGAATGGTCTGGAGGTTTCAGCTCAAGGCTCCAAAAACATGAAAGCTGGAGTCTGACTTGGTGCATGCTGCCTCAAACCTTTTAGTGTTTCAACTCCTTTACGTCTAGTGGAAGATTGTGCATAAGATACTAGTGATTTCCAAAGCACATTACCAATTCATGCTGGAAGCCAACATGTAAGACCTTATATTATAAACATGGATGCTGGGACTAGCCTTATGGTCAGTAAAAACACTGAACATCGCTAACAAAATATAGTGACGCAGGTACAGTATTACATCTTCATTGCAGATGAGAAGTTACTTTGGTGTCTAAATCACACCACTTGGGTATGAATGCATGTGACTCATTACTTTTGGCTCACTGCTGTTTTATACACCTTTGACTTCCCAATGAATCCACAGCACTAATGGTGTCAGGACTCTAGTTACCGTCTTTTGTATGAGAATCCTAACTTCTACTCTGTTTCTGTTTTTCAGTAGTCATAGGACAAGTTGTAGCACATATTTGAATGCCTAAATGTTGCTCAAGTGGGAATGACTCAGAAGCAAAGGGGATATTTTGATTAGCTGCAAAAGCATTTCTTTCCAATAGGGCTGTATTTCAAATTTTAGTAAATGCATGTGAGCGGTTATTACAACTTAGAACCGTGATGAAGGCCGTGATCTGCAGTTTTCACCAGTGACTTCCTGCTTACACAGTTAGAAACCTTGTTTAATCTATCCTCTGCTCCCTGCATCAGAAGACAGATATTTGGATGACCTCATACCATTAAGTCTCTATACGGAACGCACAGACAGGGCAAGTCTGACTCTTCCTCCTATCAGGAGGCTTGGTTCAGATCCTTGCTGTGCCGTTAAAAGCTATTCGTGACTTTGCATTCTTCCTGCCCCGATTTCCAGTCTGTGTATTAAGGGTAATAAAGACTAGGTAAACTCTTAGCAAACATTAGTGTGCCGACTTTATTAAGGTCTCACTCTAACAGGTGCCAGGCATACACAAATACAAATGGTATTTGTAAATGGAATACAAATGGAAGGCTGGATCAATGGACGACTGCTCCAGTTCTTCACATCTCCTAAAATCTCTCCATCTTTGAATCATCTCAAATGCTTGACATATCCCACATTCGTGTCAGTGCTCAGAATAAGCATGGTAAGAGACTGAATGAGTGAAAGATTGGATGAACAGATGGATGGGTAGATGGAT